TTATTCTATCTTTCACTTGGTTAGCTTGCCATAATTGATTAACTTGTACAGGAAGATAAACATTAAACTTCACTAACCTCCATCTGCCTAGTAGTTTGATCATGCGCATACAGAAATAAAAACTATAAATCATACGTAAATAGTTTCACACAGAGCTACAAGTAGAGGAATATATATTCTGAAAATTACCTTTCTGTATCTGTTCAAGTATGATTTAAGGGGATTAATGTAATCTTCAACCCTAAGGTTGCCATTGCCAATAGAAGATCACCACCCTTGATAGTGTTTCTCTTCCCTTTAACACTTAACACATGTGCTGCATCCAAATAACATACATTCAAAATCAGATGAATATAAACACAAAACAACACCAATAGAAACATTTGGCATATTTAAAGCAAATGGGGCCTGGATTGCATCACACTATAGGCATACAATCAACCTGTAAGTCTGCAATCATTAAAAAATTTATTCTTGTTAACTTAAACCAAACCAGAATGAAAACAAATGCTAATAGAAAACAGATACGTACATAAGATTTCTAGATCAAGAGACTTGAGTGTTCATTAGCTATATAAAGACATGAACAGAGCTCTTAGGCTTGTTTAAACCATTGGGCGCCTTGGACTCTCCTTCATCGCATATCTTCAAAAACATTTAAAATAAAAAATTTGATTTATTAAAATGGATAAAAAAACCAACAAATGAAAATAAACCATAAAAGTTACTAAAAGAAAATAAAATATACCTCATGAAAAATAAGAAATGAAACAATCACCAACCATCAGAATAATTGATGAAAGAATAGTCCCTCCAAACCTAATATAAGATAGATATACATAAACATTTGTGTAAAAATCGAAAGAAAAAACGACTTGACAAAAAACATGAAGAAAAGTCAAAATTAAGATCAAGAGTGAGGTTTAGGGTTGAAATCGATGCTTACCTTTAATGTATGCTGGTGTGGTTATGTGATGGTTGCACGATTTGGATTTTCTAGATAAAGAGAGGGGGATGGCGGAAAACAATGTTTATGAAGGTCTCGAGTAAGGGAAGGAAACGTTGGTCGTTAAATCCATCTTCCAAAGTCTATCTAACCAACCATTAATCAAAACAAAAGAGAGATGGTTAGTTGTAGTGGTGTGTGTGTGTGTGATAGCATGGGAGAGCATGAATTTGATTTGTCTGTACCTTGAACTGAGAAACTGATTTTGAATGCTTAACATGTTCAGACTGAGAAGCGAGAAATCGACTAGTTTGTACAACTAAGAGAAATCGGCATGGATAACCTGAACGACATTGTACCAATTTTAGAATCGAGTGAAATCGACTGGCCCATTGTCTAGATTATGAAGGCAGATGAGGGAGAATAATTAGATTCAACATAAATCAATCAGTGATTAAAGGGGGGTGGGTGCGTTTTAAACCAATTGGACGGATGAAGGGGAAAGACTAGGTCAAGATAGAGAAAGGCGAGCTAAAAAAGTTGTAATTAGGGATTGAAGAAGACGAAGATGCTATATGACGTTGATCCAACCAATTCAATTGGCTGAAATCAAGGAATACCCATTTAATTTGACTGATTCAACTGTTGACAGATAAGATATACTTTTTCTGCAATGCATAAAGGGAAAACTGCAATAAAGCCCCTACATATTGGCCTCATAATCGATTTAGTCCCTATATTTTTTTTATTCAATTAAGTCCCAAACTGGCAATCGTATTCAATTTAATCTTTTAACCCGGCCAACTGGTCATTCAACTTTCAAAAATTATATTTTTGGCCCACATTTTCAAAATTTATTACAAATTTGGTCCAAAATTTATACTTTTGGCCCAAATTTGAAATTTTGTTACAAATTTGGTCCAAACTTTACTCTTTTTGCCCAAATTTTAGAATTTTATTATGAATTCATCATAACTTTAGTTTTTTTTACAACTTTTTTTCTCAAAAAATTGTTTCTAATATGTTTTTTTTATAAAATCATATTTATACAAAAAAAACGTATTTTCACATAAAAATCTTATATTTTCTATATAAAAAGTTTTTTGTATATGAAATATCTAGTTATAAAAATATGTATTTATTAAGTATATAAATATATACAGATTCGTTTTTATAAAAAAAATGTATACAAAAACGTATTTTGAACTTAATTGAATAAAAAAATATAGGGACTAAATCGATTATGAGGCCAATATGTAGGGACTTTATTGCAGTTTTCTCATGCATAAAAGGTTTGTATATAATGCAGATTTACTTATACTACTTAAAAATCATCATTTAGCTAAATATGTTTTATAAGGTATAATAGATATATATAAGATTCCATATGTTTATGTTTCATACTATATATTCTAAATTCAATATGATATATATTAAATATTTAACTAAGTTAATTAAATAATAAAACAATAACAAATAATTTTAATTTTAAAGAGATAAAATGAAATTTCATTGAATTAAATTGAATGGTCAATACAAAAAAACAAAAGAATCTTAGCACTATTTAATGGTGATGAGTGGTTAACTAAGGAAAAAAAATATAAAAAAAACTTTTTTTTTTGGAGATGTTCAAATAAAACTCTTTCCTAAAAAGTTAATTCAATAGAGTAAATAATTGCTTAACACAAAATAAACTGGAATTTACTATCAATAAAATATCCGTCTTCAAGATTTCTCCAACATTTTTCTACTGTTAATAATTGAATATCATATCAGATCAACTTACCTACTTTGATTTGTTTGTAACTGAGAACAAACTCGTCTTGCAATTGATTGTCGGTCTTAATGAGAAGTACGACAACGTCGCCACTTTGAACAATCAAACCATGTACCATCTTTTTACGAATCACATTCAAAGTTAGTGCTTGAAGAAACACAAAAATTTAAACAATCTATCACTTCCATGACCACAACCTTACTCACCACCTCACAACTCTAACCTGCCTACAAACATCCCACCTGACAACCCCTCACCCCCAAACAACATCAACAACACATCGGTGGCACTCCGTTTTACTTATGTCATGATTATAGTGGGAGAACTGACGGTCATGGTTGAGGTAATGATGGACATGGTCACGCACGTGGATGCAACAACAAACATCAACACAATCGACAACCACAATGGCCAACCTACCGACCATGGGCATGACCTACGATTAATGGGCTTGACCACCTTACCCATTTCCCACAAGCTCTTAGATATGACTTGATTATTCCCACCATGGACACAGTGTACTTGTGCCAAGGCCTCAACGACCAAACCGCAAGCCTATACCATCTTTAATCAAGCACTAATGAAGTTTATTCTTACGGACCTAACCCTAGCTATGAAAGCTACGACTTTCAACAACTAGATGTAAATTGATATATGGATCTGGGGGCATCATCACACTCGCACATGACCGATTCTCAAGGTTTTATCTCTTCTTATTTCAATTTAAGCAAATTAAACAAAGCTATAGCATTCGGCAATGGCCAATAATTCCAATTACAGGTTTCAAGCACATTACTCTTCTATTTTCTAAATTTTCTTTCCATATGAAGTTTTAGATTCTATTTTTTCAACAAGTTCGGTTATTTTTCTCAATCACTAAGAAGAGATGGTTGAGCCAAATCCCAAAACTATTGTGTCTGAGGCTCGAGAGTATTATCAAATATCAATTTTATCTCATTGGTGGAATGATTGGATATGGTCCTTTAAATTTAAAAGAATCTTAGCAAAAAATCAAAGCCCTCTAGACTTAATGAGCCTACTTAGTTGAATATTATTGGGCTTTTGGGTTTGTTTTTAAATTTCAATAGTGATTTTGATATATTTTACCATAAGTTAGTAACCCAATAGTGGATAGCGTGTTAGAAAATAAATGTTAAAAACAAAAATCTATTCGTCTCAAAATTATTATCTACAGACAAAAACACACAGGTTAAGGAAACATTAATTACCACTAACTTTATATAACAAAATGACAGTTTTGTCATTACTTTGCATTTAATGTTCCATTAAATGCTTAGTTGGTTAAGTAATAATGATGGAGTATTTTGGTAAAAATGTTATTTATTTTTAGAAGTGGACTATTATTTTGGGACAAACCAAAAAGGAAAGATGATCTATAATTTTGGAACGGAGAGAATAATATGTAACGAGTATTCTTGATATTCTTATAAGACGGAAATATGCTATTAATGGATTATTTTACTCATTATAAAAACCAAAAAACCTTAAAAAAATTTCAATATCACATTTCTTTTTATATTCTTTGATTATACTATTTACAGACAATGATTTCTACACAGCATTATTTAGCCATACACAATAATTTATGTTTTAGATGGTTGTACTGTACAACTGTTTAAAACACAATTTGTTGTGTATGGTTAAAAATTGTTGTGTACGTATTAAAAAAAAGTACCATAGTTTTTGCCTTTAAAATATTACGTATTTGAAAGAGATATCTATATCTATAAATCATATATTTATAATTTACAAATACTCTGACTATATCACTTTTGTATGAATATATATGAACTTATCTTTGGAGAGCTTGCTCTAAGCGGAAATATGTTTTAGAAAAATAAGTTAATAATCACACATATTTAAACAATGCCAATTGAGATGAGACAAACTTAATTATTTTTAGAATATATGAGTGCACTCATCCTAAAAAAAATCAAATACCTGGTATATAATGTAACATTTTTGTTTTAAATTACTTAAAAAAACAATATAATACTATATTAGCAAAGATTTGTATGAAATGCTTAAAACCAACCTTTTGCAAGATTCACCACGTGGAGAGGAGACCGACTTTTTTTGTGAAAATGGCTAAAAATACAAAGTCGTAACCAGTTTTACACAATTTGCAACAGAAAGCACTAAAGGCCAAGCAAAAAGTCTCACCTCATTGTACTTTTTGATGCTATAAACCGGCACCAAATATTCTCACAAAATTTAATCAAATCTTTCTACTTTCATTTCAAATTTGGTTTCCTTATGGTGAAAAACAATCTTGCTTCCATCATTGCAATGGCGTTCTTGATGACTATGGTGGTGCACCAGACCGAAGCACTGGTGTGCAACCTGTTATCATTGAGCCCATGTTTAGGACCGGCTTTGTTCTTCACACCACCACCAGGTTTGTGTTGTGGGAGGCTAAGAGAACAAGCCCCATGCTTGTGTGAATATGTGATGAACACAAATTATGGTCAGTTGCTAAGCTCGTTTGGCCCTCGTAGAGTAGTTCAGGCTTGTGGTTTGGTCATGCCTTCGTGTTATCAAATATAATGTTGTTGAATATAACTATATTATGAACTTATGTTTGGGTCCAAATCCTTTTGGTTCCCATTAATATATAATTAATGCGGTTTTTTCATTTGACTAATGGTTGTTTGAGACTATATGTGTATAAATTATAGAGAAAATTACAAATTTAGCCAAATACACTAATTACTTTGTGGAAAATAGCTAAAAAAACCAAAATTGCATTTTTAGCCATTAAAACCGTAGATGGGTATAATCCATCTGTGATTTTGTCATGCCATCTGCAAACGTATAAGTGTGCTTTAGCCATTTGTACGTTCGCAGTTGTTTTTTTTTCGCTGTATATGTACCCCATTTTCCAGCCTAAAATCGCAGATGTCCATCTGCGATTTCCTCTCTATTCACCTGTGATTTTGTGATTTTTTTTTGTTTTTTTTTTATTATTTTGACTACGAAATTGATAGGGTTTGACTACGAAACAATCTTATTATATATAAACTTTTTCAAAAAATTATCATTTTTGTTGTTATTTCTTTGGAAAATTTGTTTAAAACGTCTCTAAAAAAATGAATGAATATTTGGTTTGCGTTGTAACTGGCGGGAGGTGGAAAGAGAGAGTTTCTCTAAAAACGATAGTGAAAAATGAAAAAAAAAACATTTTTATACAAAATAGCTACGAAATCGCAGATAGATTGTTCCATCTGCGAACGTACAAGTGCCTAAAGCACAAATGTGTTTTAGGCACTTGTATGTTCGCAGATGGAAATGCAAAATCCCAGATGAGCTTAATCCATCTGCGATTTTAAAGGCTAATTTTGTAATTTGAGTTTTTTTTTTTGTTATTTTCCACAAAGTAATTAGTGTATTTGGCTAAATTTGTAATTTTCTCTAAATTATAATGTGACTTTTTTTTGAATAATGGTTATCTGATGAGACTATATGTATATAAATTTGGTATATCGTTCGTTTAATATGAATTTAGATTTTAGAAATATAATCATATTAGCAACAACATAATTGTGTGATAAAATATACTAACATTTTGACAAAAAGTTCTTACAAATGGATTAATAGTTTGGTGGTTCGCATTACAGTTTATTTAAAGTTTTAAGTTTAATTGATCATATTTTAATTTTTCTTTGTTTTAAATATCTTGCTATTTTTTTTATTCTTTGATTTTCTATAAACATTGTAATAAATTGACCAAGACTATATAAGACCTAAGTCTGACTATGATTACATACATGTTTATTCTGTTAAGTCACGATGCTGATTTGTTTTTTTAAGTTGCTTCACTTTGTTTGTCAAGATCATTAAACAGTTAAACTCTCATTTAACTGTTAACTATTAATACTAAATTATCAACAAAAAATCAAATATTTGATATTCAAATTCCAACCATTTTTCAATTTTCTTGGTTTTCTATTATTCTATATTTTTGAATTGAGACTTTAAAATAACATCATGCCGAGCATAAAAAAAGAAGTGTCAATGGACAAATAAGAAAATGATAAGAATGACCAAAATAATACACTTGTTTAAATGCTCAAAACTTTTGATTTGTCAGGAGTTTTGAGATCCGCCTTACATCGTCGAAAAACTCTTGACCGCCGAATAGGGGTGGGAATTATTTGGTCCGGAACCGAAAAAACCGAAAACCAAATCGAACCGAACCATATTCAAATTCGGTTTTTGGTTTGGTTTGAGACCAAACCGAATTGTAAATTTGATTTTTGGTTCGATTTTCGGTCTCATGAAATTTAAACCAAAACGAACCGAAAAACCGAATTTCATAAAATAATTAATTAAAAAAATATATTTTATAAATTATATTAAATAAAAGTATTAATTATAAAATAAAAATCATTTTAACCCATTTACTCTTTAGATCATTTTGTATGAAACTTTAGATCTTTTTGTTCGTAACTTTAGGTTTCTATGTTAAAAACATTTTAATTTATGTTTGAAAATTTTTTAAGTTAATATTTGGTTTCCTCGGTTTTCAAACCGAACCAAACCGAATTAGAATCCGGTTTTCGGTTTGGTCTAGAGAATTTGAATTCGATTTGGTTAGGTTTTCGAATTGGACAATAAAAAATTTCAAATCAAAGAAACCGATTCAAAGAAACCGAAAAACCAAAAAACCGAACCGATCCCCACCCCTACCGCCGAAGCTCCTAAAAAACAACCAAAGGCGGTTTTCCTCGCGGTCACTCCTCAAGTTTCATTGTTTAAGCCTCTAAATTTTAATTTTCTCAAAAATTACTTATTTTACAATTTACTTTTGTCAGTCTTGGTTTATAAATCACACGATTGACTAAAATTTTAATTTCAACAAAATTTCACTCAATTTTAATTTCTGAAAAAATGGCAATACTTCATCTTGAACTTTATTAACATTCTTCTTTTGAGATTTTCCAGAACAATTTTTGTTCTTACTTCCATTCATTATAACATTTCAATTTCCAACGACAACATTAAAATAATATATTATAATTATATTTTACATAGAATTGTATACACAAAATATAAATGTTGTAATTATATAGTCAGTTGTCCATATATATTTATCTTACCTGTCCGAATAGCTTTAGTCACGGTCTTGCAAATTTTATAGATGCTTCATGTGCTATGTAAATATGTAAATATGTAAATTTTATACATCATCTTACATATTGTTTGTTCAATGGTCTATGTAAATATGTGGATAAGTTTTTGTTAAGATTTATGGAGTCTTGAACAAATTGACAAGTTCCTAAGAGTTCAAGAGCCATAAATGTAACATTACATTTAACAATTGAATTATTCAATTGTTGTCGGCAAACGTTTGAATTAAATATTCAAATGGTCGGTGGACAATTATTTAATATTTGTTGAACGGCTAATGTGAATGGCAAAATTTTCAAAGTCAATCTTTGCGGCAATCCTGTGCATATTGCGGCTCACAAATATACCTATATATATGCATGTATGTTTTGCATATTTTGTGTGCAAAAACTTGAGAGAACATCAAGTGTAGAGTGTCAAGCCAATTGTAATCTTGTGAGTTTTAATAAAATTCTCTAGTTGCAGCCCGTGGACGTAGGATTTCCACCGAATCCGAACCACGTAAAATCCTTGTGTTCTTCTTACTTTATTTTCTCGTTTCGTTTGTGTGTGTGATAGTGTTTCCGCTGCGTGTACCCGGTCCGGTTCCTAACAACTGGTATCAGAGCCAGATTAGCGAGGTTTGGAGGGTACGATCGTTTTTTTTTATCACGCACGAGTGTACCTGATTTGTATCTTGTTTGTCGTAATGGCTGAAGACAAGGTTGTAATCGAAAAGTTCAACGGTTCTGATTTTAGCTGGTGGAAAATGCAATTAGAAGCATTGCTATGTCAGAAAGACTTGGACATGGTACTCGGAGACAAACCGGAGAAAATGGAAAAAGCTTTTGAAGATGCGTGGAACTCAAAGGACAAGAAAGCCAAGGCGGTTATTACATTGTCATTGACGAAGAGCGTTGCTTTCAACATCATGAATGAAACCACGGCGCGTGGTATGATGGAGGCTCTGTCAAATATGTATGAGAAACCATCGGCGGCTAACAAGGTGTTCTTGATGAAGGAGTTGTTCACTACAAGGATGAATGAGGAAGGCTCAGTTACGGTTCACATTAATAATCTAAATTCAATTCTGTCCAGATTATCATCTGTGGGAATTAAATTTGATAACGAGACTCAAGCATCACTGCTACTAGCTTCTCTACCTGATAGCTGGTCCGGAACAGTTACTGTTGTTACGAGTTCCGTGGGGACCAGTGGTATGACTTTTGAAGGGGTTAGAGATTTGGTTCCAGGCGAGGATATCAGACGCAAGAATCAAGGTGGATCTTCCTCTTCTGATTTATTAAATGTCGGAAGAGGTAGAGGGAATAGCAGGAATAGTGGAAGCAGTGGGAGTCGGGGAAGAAGTTCATCTAGAACTAAGAAGAATGTGAAGTGCTGGAACTGCCAGGAGGTGGGACATGTTAAGAGTCAATGTCCAAAGAAAGAATTAAACATTGCTGGTGCTGAGAGTGTGTCTGAGGATGATGCACTGATACTCAATATGGAAAGTTCTGTGGACTCTTGGGTCATGGATTCAGGGGCTTCGTTTCACACCATGGACAACGGGGAAACGATGGTGAATCTAAAAAAAGGAGATTTTGGAAAGGTACGGTTAGCAAATGACGAGATGCTTCAAGTAACGGGCATGGGAGATATTGATCTAGTTACTTCATTGGGAACTACATGGAGCCTGAAGAATGTCAGGGTTATTCCGGAGCTGAAGAAAAAATTGATTTCTGTTGGTCAGCTGGATAAACAAGGACTGGAAGTAAGGTTTGGTGGTGGTAAATGGATGGTGGTCAATGGTAATTCGGTGATTGCTCAAGGTATGAAGCGTGGGTCATTGTATATGGTTGAGGTACCTGCTGAGGGAAGTATGACCATCCCGATTAAGCAAAACAAAATCTGGTTCGCTAAATCTACTGCTAAGAGAGTTCATTTTGCAAACATGAATTCTGGAGCCAAGGGGATGTTAGCTGAACGAGTCGGAAATTCTAAACCATTCAGGGGATTCTGTGACAGTGGGAGCACGGGGTGTGTTCCGGGTATAGTTACAAAGAGCCGTTGGGTTTTGAAGACTAAGACTGGAAAATTCTCTCTTGTTGGAAGTTTGCAAAGTTTGGAGAGGGTTAGTGGTCCTCGGTGTATCTCTGGATCTGGTGGAGTGTCCAAACCGGTTGAGACAGAGGATGAGTCGGTGGTGGGATTAGCCACGACTGAGTTGGAGCTAGTGGGAGCTTCAACTGGCCCTTCTAGTACTTGAAGATGAGGGGCGGCTGCAATTAGAGAAATGGGACTAAGTTTAGCTTGTTCTTAGGAACTGGAAGCTTGGAAGACTTGGTTGTTTTAAGATTACTGGAGTTGGATGACAGAGACGGACCATGTTGTTCAAGCCTCCAAGTGGGAGATTGTTAAGATTTATGGAGTCTTGAACA